ACGCTGCGAATAGCTAGCGCTATTCAGATAGGAAAAAACCATCACTGATTTATACTAACATTTTTGTAGATTTCTTTTAAATTCATTTGTGACTAACCGCATACACCTCTCCCTTCTGGCCTGGTGAAAGGGGACACAAGATTCTGTATTTTATCGATCTTATGCGATGAGGCTATCAAACATGTAGTTATTTGTTGTTAAAATGTCATATTTCATACATCTAGACATTTTTGTGAAAATTCGAATTTTGGTACATTTGGACGATTTTTGGTGAAATAGCCATCCAAAACGGTCGATATTTTGTTTAGAGAGCATATTTACAGAGTCATTGGAGTACATTTTGGCCCATAAAATACTTCAAATGTTAAAAGTAACCTTTTTTGTCATTTTTGGCCATATTTGCACTACCAAAGGTCATATCTTGAAAACAAGAATTTTCTGGGATATGAGCTATGCGGCATATTATAGCTTAGACTTGGGCCTAAAAATCGGTGAAATTTTCAAGTGACCAAGAAAGGCTAGTTTTCGAGCTAATGACCATTATGTGTCCGGCCAAACGGTAAGTTTTTGGTTTTTGGCCAATTTGGCCACTCCAACTTGAAATTTTTGGACCGCAAATGACACCATTCGATAGCTGGCTTTAAGACCTTTAAAACGATATGCATATGTCCGGGGTGTGTCAAGTCGATGTGCCTCGGTGTCCGTGGGGAAAAAAGTCAAAAAGTGACTTTTGGAGGCCGGCCAGGGCCAACATGGCGGCCATATCGAAAAGTGCCGGAACAAAAAAGTATAAGTGTACTTTAATCCCAGAAAAATTCAAAAATATCAGAAACAACTACGCAAAATCGCGGACACACAGACATTTTGATTTTTCATAGAAATTCATATGAAATTTTTAAAATAATAAATTTTTCGAACGGATTAACCGATTTCGACGTTCGAGGTATCGTTGGAAAGGTATTGAGCTCTAGAATAAGAATATCGATGTTTCAGGGGTACATGACCTCTTTTAGTGCCATCTATGGTCATGAAACTGAATTTTGACCCTTTTCTTGAAAGGACCATATTTTGAAGACAGGTGGACCGATTTTCAAACTTTTATATTTTTTCTTGATCTATAGCCCAAGGGCTTTTCAACCATACATCAACCGGGGCCAACGGCCTTCTAGGTCTGGATTTCGTATATTACGTGTATATATAGCGAGCTCGACTTTTCAACACACTAATGTGGTTTCGTCACTCGCGCGTACTGCCGTCCGCTATGATTATTTTTTAAATGCAATTGTACAAAAACGTTGTGTACCGTTTTTAAAAAACGTTGTGTTCCACTTTTAGAAATTAATTATATAGGCTTATATCAAGCTAAGTTTTTATTTTAGCTCATTCAATCTGGCAAATGTAATATGGCTCAATTTATAAGAGTTTTCGATTGAACATTTGTTCACACAACATATATTTTATATTATGTATATGTTGAATTCAAAATGTACGAACTCTGCATAGCAATGTTGATATGATTGAATATGGTAATGTCACAAAGAAACGTGATTATCATTTCGCGGGGAAGGGAAAGATGTCAAATACTCAAGCAGACAAAAAACGGAATTTGACATCATAAAACACTGTGCATAAAACCGACACACTTAATCTTAATTTACCTTTACACTTGCGCTAATCGGCGATGTTGATCGCTTCCATAGATAGTCCTTATCGCTAACACTGCCAGCTAAAAGCGAACCGCTTGTGGTGCGATCCTTTGAAGAGGATCGTCTTGTGCTTGAATGGTGATTTGCATTAAGTGAGTCAATTAGTGCTGACTGCGATCTAGAACGTGACAATTCACAACTTGGTTTATAATTGGCAACACTGTATTTATCGTATAGATCGGCACCAGACGTTGCTATTGATCGTGCTAATGATGTGGTGGTGGACAAACGTTTCGAACTGGTCAGTGATTGTGATGAATCGAGAGTGTTTTTTATGGTTGATGATTTGGTATAGCCATTGTCCAATGATAGATCACGGAAACGACTTTCGGATCGAATGCGAGTTCCAATTGGTGGTTTTCGATCAATGCTTTTACGTGTGAACGATGTACTGATTGTTGATGGTATGGTGGTGGACGTGTATCGTGTACTTACTCCAGATCTGGATGTTGTTGATGTATCATCTCCGTTAACACTTCGATAGGATCCAATGAAGCTCGATCGACGAAACGATGACGGTATGTCGACGAGAGCGCCCGAACCACTAATGCTGCTCGAATAAGTCGATTTTCGATACGAATCAACTGTGCTCGAAGGTAAATAAGTATTTCTCGTTGTCGTCGTCGTTGGGAAACGTGTCGAAATTGCAGGCATATTATTCTTTGTCGTTAGATAGTTGTTGGGAGGCTGTTTTAAATCCCTGGCTGTTTTAAACTTACACTGTTCGTCTTTTTCTTTCTCTCCGAGTTAATTCACTTATTTTCGTTTCACGATTCACTCAACAATGATTCTAGTTTAGCACTCTTATCAATGTTACACAATTTCAGCGACTTGTCGTATACTTGTTATTTATATTGATAATTGTTAATATTACCGTTGGTGGATCTATTTAAAAAGAAAGAGAAAACACATTTTTAATAGGCAACTCAGCAAACAAATTTGTAATGTTTTTAGTACATTCTAACGTTGAAAAATGTAACGTGTTGGCCGATTCTGGTGGTCATTTTCGTGTGAAATGGAGTAGAGATTATATGCATAGTTTCCAAGAATTCCAATGTTCATCATTCAACATACACTTGTTTCTTTCACTTCCAATAATATTTCGTTTGAAGACATAATGTGAACACAACCCAACACATTAAGTTTTAAATTGAAAATCTAACAATTCATTTGTTCATTTACGCTCAAATAAAAATATAAACAATTTATTCGGAAAGAGATTTGTGTAATTTAATTTAAAACTCTGCAGAAGAACTCTTTTATACGTCATTTATTGCATTTATTTTTCTTTAGTTGTGGAATTGGTATTTTGAATTTTCAGTATTAACAGTATTGTTAGTATAAACAACTATCGCACCAACCGATTTTGTTTACAATAAAACTTTGTTTTGTTTTCAATAGGATTTCTTGAGAATTATATGTGAGTTTTTGTAGCGTGGCTTGTCATTTTAACAATGATTTTGTGTGTTCGATATGGAATGGATATATTCACAGTTGGTTTTGTGTTCATTTTTGTTTTAATTTCGAAATAACATAGTGTTGATAAAATTTACTGTGAATATTCCAACAACATTTCGATCGGGAAAATATTTGATGTCACATTGGAAATAAATTTCATCATTTGATTTAGAACACAGAGTTTCATGAAATATTCCGTAACAATCGGTAACAATCCAAACTTTCAACAGCCAACAAGCAATCGCCCACGGAAAATAAACAGTTTTGCTCTTGTACCGTTATGCGATTATCATTTAAAGAGCGTGCGATTGGATATGAGAGATTTGCATAACAAATTGACAAGCAAGCTAAAAGTGGTGCCCAGATTCCTCAATACTGAGACCAACCGGCTAAATAAATACCCCGAAAAATACTACAGAGATCATGATCGAGATGGACTATGGAATTTGTTGTTCGACGTCGATAAAATCAACCAATTGGGCAAACGATCCAAACAATTCCATCATCAAATCGTGACCAATGGTGTTTCCGTATCGGTACTGTACACCAAACCAGAGCGAACGTGCAACGAAAATGTGCATTTACAGGCGAACAATCTTGTGGGCAAGAAATACGTTATTGGTATCGATCCAAATGAAAAAGCGTGGTTGGCTATAACGCGTCGCAACATCCGGAAAACACCTGATGAACCGGCCGTTGAGGTGAGATATTTTGAAATCTAACTTGAAATGTGTTCGAATCGAAACTAATTGTTTTTATGATTTTGAATTTTGAAGGAAAACATCACAATACCAAACACGCGATTCTACTGGGAAACTCGGCAGAAACGAAGAGAAAAAGAGGCGAAAAACTTGGCTGGATGGTTTGATATCGAAGAAAAGAATCATCTGAAGACATACCCATTCGGTCCAACATCACCGCGTAATTCAACGTGGCAATGGTACATTAAGTATCGCATTTGGTGAGCGTCAAGAAACTTGACCATTCAGTGGTGAAAATGGAAGATAAATGGGGATCATCACAAACATGCGCGAATTGCCATGAACGATTTCCAGTGAACACAAAACCTCATCGATTCAAAGTGTGCTACGGTTGCAAAGTGAAACCGATTGCTGGACTACCGGACTCAGTCGCTAGTCTGCCAGATATAATTGTGGCAAAGGTTAGCAAACGTGCTTTGCAAAAGGGACGGAAGGAAATTAAGCGTCGAATTCGCAATGGCAATTATCAGGATGTAGAGGAAATACTTCGGAATGGGCGTTTAATGTCAAAGGTTAAAGTTACCTACAAAAATTGGCCATTAAATGTTCAGGGTGATGTTGCTGCTCCACAGACAGCTGTTTGGCACCGCGATATTGTTGCTGCAAAATGCATTATGCTCAAAGTTAAGAATTAATTGAAAATAAAATCTATTCATTTTTTAATGTTTTTGCTTCAAATTACACAGGACTATGTCGGATGTTTGGCGTACTAGTGCCTGATTCGTTGAGAAGACCACCAAACAATGTCAACTGACAAGCAGCAGCATTGAATCCATAAATTATTAGATAAAACAAATATTATAACGATTAGTTGGCGTAGATAGGCTTGACACCATTTGTGTTACACAAATCTTGTGGCCTTGTTGTGCATTCATAAGAACAGTACAACGGTAGTACGGAGGGAAGGAGCCTCGTTCCTCTTTTCCATGTATTTACACCTGAATGTTATGCTATGGCAACCGTAAAAATTACTGAAACTATACACAAATCCGGGTCCAAATTTGACCGTGAATTTGTGCCTCGTAATGGGTGAATTTGCATTACAAATTGTTCCTTGTTAAGCAAGGTATAAAGCACGAATTAACTTCACTTGCAAAATTCAAATATAATTGACTTATGATAATAATTCATTCAAACAACTCCATATCTTCTAAATTTTTCTTTTTTTATCACAAATATCGTATAACCTTATCTTCTACGAAACTAACAATAAGGTGATTCGAGACAGCTATAAGTCTCGAAGGAACACTTTTTTTTTCTTTTTCTCATTCACCAGTCGCTTATGCAATTTGATAAATCTAAATCTAATTAACAAATGTGTGCTAGAAACTGTAAATAATTCACATAAACACCATCGACAAATTGAAAATGTACTCACTCTATCGTATCAATTAATATAAACTCATTCGATCACATCATGAATTTTGAATCACATCAAGAAGTCTCGCGCAATCATTTTTAGAGTTCTCTCTTTCAAACTACATGTGTGTACATAAAAGAAAGACGAAACATAATGAAGATTGAAAAAGACAACAAGTCTTTGGAAAGTCACAACGATGTATGATGCACGAAGAAAGGAAGAAAAAACAAGAAAAATGAGAGAAGTAGAATGATGTCCATGAGAGTAGCATATTCAATGGTCTATAAGAGCGCGTATTCAGGTAAATAAAATGTAGTAATTGAGCTGTGCCGAGCCAAGGAAGAAAATCAAGGTCACCATGTGTGCGTTTATTGTAGTCGCAAATACAGACACTGTATTGCTCATAACAATGCGCCATTGTGTGATATTTGATTCCGACCGTGCTCGCTCATACTTGACCGTTCTCAAATTTCTTTTTACTCGCGCTATGGCACCAAAGCATAATTACACAGACTCGAGATGCTTTCATAATATATAATCGCAGTACCGAGCAAAATTGTGTTTTGCCTATTCATATTGATCAAACAAACACACCCGCACACAAATCGTATTGCTTTATTATCTAAATACAATCAGTTATACATGGCTAGACATAAAACGGTGAAATTTTTGCACCGGATTAAATTCGTTTTACATGTCCGTGTTGTATTGTATGGCTTTTTTTATTTTCATTCGTTTTCATGCATTTAGAATTAGTTTTTTACGAGTTTTCCGTATTTTTGTTGCCGTCTCTCACAATCGGTGAATGCGCCTGTGTGCTCATAGAGATTTACAAAATATGTGACCATGATGTGTGTATTGTTGGTACCGTGGAATTTACAAATACACACGCGCATTGCGACTCAAATGAAAAATGCACAAATTCGTTTTTGACAATTTCGACATTTGTAGGAAAGTAAGCACTTTTTTTCGTTTCGACGAAATTTCACAAGCGCAGATGATTTATAATTTTAGGTTATTCAAGTCATATCCGCGAACAATGTTCAATTAATCAAGAGCACAAAAAAATAAAATTCACCATACAAAACGATTCAAAAAATGTTCGAGCAGAGGGAAAAAAATTAGGTCGCACAATTTTCGGAATTTCAACCACTCAATCGATTTGTCATTCAAATATTTGATGCACAAACAATTTGTCACTCAATTTTAAATCAAAATTTCATACTTACAAATATAAAAAGCAAAAAATTTCGTGCGGATCTTTTGTTTCCACAAATCGAAAATGAAAATGAAGAGCTGACACAACACACAGTACAGCACACACGAAACCGTAACATCTCTCTAATACCTAGGCCTCCATATTTCATTTCTATTTTTCCTTCAGAGGATGGATATCGTTCGATATCACTCGCTCTCGCTCCACCAACACAGTCATAACATATATACCTACACATAGACTCATTCATTCATCGAAGCGTGCACACGACCGCACATTCGCACATAAATACACGATACGATTGGGTCTCTTTCCATCACATTGTTTCTCTCAAGTACTGTTTCTATTTTACGGTATGTGGTGTACTGTGATGTATGCTCAAATAGTACAAACAGCAATAACACTGAATACCAATACTCGGCACATAAGTACATTTTTGAATGACGACTACAACTATGACGGCGATGATAAGTGATTATCACTAGTGATTTGTTCGAGAAAGAAATTGTTGAGCGGCATGGTTATTGGTTTTGTTTTTGGTGTTATGCTGTGCTTTAAATTCCTTGCATACATAATTCATACAATTATTTTCGTGAATGTTTTTATTTGGAGTTTAACGTGTAATTTAGAATAATTATTATCTTTTTATTGAAAAACAACAAATATTACACTATTAATAGTGTAATTTTTGTTGTTTTTCAATAAAAAGATAATAATTATTTTCGAGTAGAGTTCATGTACTTGAGTATTTTTTCGGTATTTTCATTGTTACTTCACTTATTAAATGCAAATAAAGGTTGTTTTTCCATCGATTCCATTGGTCAGAGACAATTGTTACATTTGATTGGGTACTAAGAATTCTATTACAGTGATAATGATGTCATGGTACTCAGTATAACGTTGTTTATCATAATAAACAGACTCTTATTGTAACAAATCATACACTTTTCGTTTGTAAAGCTCTTGACATAGATCGCAAAAGAGTTAAGCATTTAAAATTAATGCGGAAATGTGAGATTTTTTAAAGCTTTTACAAATTACTTTTTAATAGTCTGATAAACATTTATTGAAACATCCAAAATGCCCGAATTTGAATGAACCATGGAAAGCCTCGAATAATTCATTGACTAAATATTTGTCTGCTGTTTCATGCTCACTATTAATATTCATCCCTTTTATGGTGAGTACGAAAGGATTTTTCAGTTTCTTCAGGCAAATATAAAAAAATGATACAAAATTTATGTGTGACACAATAAATTCCCACGTAGAGTTGAATATACTGACGAACATGTTTATATTTTATACATACGGACAGAAGGATTTGTTGTCGCCCGTTCGCTCGTGTTTTAAATGTTATTTTTAGCCACATTTGAAGGAAAATCACTACAAAAAAAAACGAAGCAAAAACTCTTTTTTTTCGATCATCATTTTTTGCCAGTTGTATGAGCTTGAAATTTTTATAGAAGTGTTGTTGTTATGTATTGCGTCGTATATTCGTGCTAAAATGGTTTCACAATCAAAACCCTTGCCCCCGATAATTTTAACGTTAATAATTTTCTTCATTTAAAAATTTACCAAAAATTGTGCAGAGTTTTATGACGCCGTTGGTCACCTAATTTTTAATTGTACATGATAGAATCGCCAATTTAGCGGATCTTAGAATATAACTTTAGATATCAACGACAAATATGCCATTATTTCTTTGACATTCATAGCCATAGAATACAAACAAACACATAACAAAATCGATAAAATAACGAAAAAAACAACAACAAAAAATACATACAAAACCATAAAAAGAAAACGACAAAGCAAAAAAAATAGGAAAGAGTAAATGGAATTTGCCGGATGTCATCATAGATTCTGACGTGGGTCCATAGGGCCCATATTACCCCCCCCCCCCCTGAAAAGCGGCTCAAAAATTACCCCCATTGATTTTTAAAAAATTACCAATTACCCCCTTGATTTTTGATCATATTTTTGCTTGATTAATTGTCAAATCAGCAACTTTCAAATCGAATCGAATGTTACATATCAACTTTTATGCATTGAATTATTCAATTTGAATATAAACACTTTAGCCAAAGTGCTATTTCCCTGTTATTTTTCAGAGATTAGATTTTTTGAAAAATTTTGAAATTACCCGCCCAGATTTTAAGAAATTTTTTGAAATTAGGCCCCCCCCCCTAAAACTCAGGACGTCAGAATCTATGGATGTCATTGAATCGAGACAATATTGAATGCGCGCCGTAGATATGTCAGGTTTGCTGTTTATGGAATTGAGGAAAGAAAAATTAAAACGTTTCAACCCACAAACACCCAATGGAACGATTGGAATTGCATGTTTCAAACAGACAAATGTACATTCAATTTTCAATTAGTATCTATTAATTGAATTAACGTATCGGAAGAGAATTCAATATTAAATCAACCACTCGTTTGAATTTAATGAGACGATATTCGCTGTGACAATATAATCAACTCTTTGTTTGCAAGCATTTTTTATTTAACGTAGTCATGATGAGAAAATTATTTCGATCTTAATCATATGTATCGTTCAAACAATAATCACGCTATTACATTCACCCTAGCATTCACCACAACGAGCAGTTGTATTTACGTTTACATTCCACATAGGAAAAAATAAGTATTTTAACTAAATAAAATATATAAAAAAAGTCTCTTTCGCTCGTACATCTATCGCATCCACGCACAAATGACACACTCGAATGAATCACCAAATAATTTAATCTATAAACAAAATGTGTGCTCAAGCATTTACTCAGCATATTATTGTTGATTCAAATGCTCAAGGTTAATTTAAGTAGATTTTCTGTACACAAATACACAGTCGCTCTCTCTCTCTCTCTCTCTCTCTCTCTTGTCCTATTCATTTCAATTTAAGTAATCACACTTCTTTTTTGCTCTTAAATAAAGTCAATTTTGTGCGCATTTATTTTTCGTCAGAATTCTTTCATTGAACTGATTTCCTTGATAATATTACCTGCTGTTTAAATTGTTATTATCCATATTGAGTTCATTCTAAATCTGTAAATTTCTTTTAATTTGATTGTCAACTTTTTTTTCTCTCTTTAATTTTCTTTAATCAAAGTCATTCACTTAACCACACTTGATTCTATGTCAAAAGAAAGAAATATATCTTTTCACGGTTTGGTCCTGATCAAGTGAAAAACTTAGATCACTGTTGTTTTATTTTTCTTGTATCATTTGGACGGTACCAAAATAACTGATTTTCAACAATTCAAACGACTTCAGTTCAGATATAAAATAAGAAAATTAGTGTGTTCGTGCGATGTTCGGTTAAACAACGATAGGCAACTGTTGAAATTTCACTTTTATTTCGCTAAAATTGATATGATATGACACGAACTTGCACCACTTTACAATGTAACTATACACAATGCAGACTACATAGATATAATTGGATGAATGTGTGCACACTGCACACATGTGTTTGTTGATACACCAGAATTCATGCAATAATACAATAGATACTAACTGTCAAAACTCAACGAAACTCATTCACGTGTTGGCTATTTTGATATTTGTATACGTATGCGTAGTAAATTGTTTGAAGAAATGACGTCATAAACTCACAATGTTTTCGTATTATATTTTCTGAATAAAATCCACTTGCTATGTGAGCCCACTCACTTTTGAAGTTTTCTACCGAGCTGTATTTAACTGTCTTTTTTTGTAAAGTTTTGAATTAATTGCAAAAAGGAAATTATATTACAATTTCATTCAATAAAAATACCAAATTTAATTGAAAATTGTATGCTAAAGAATGTGCCACAAATTTATTTTTATAGAGTGAAAAATATGGATTTCCAAACAGACATTTGAACTTTGGGAACAATTAACAAATAGTTTTTTTTACGTGTTTTGATAAAATAGAGAAAAAGCTGATTTCCAACCAAATATAAAAAAGGTTCTAAATAAAAAATATTGATAGGGCAAATGCATCCATTATGAAGCACATATTGACGGTCGTTTTCGGGGTTAGATTCGTGTGTAGTTTCAGTCATTTCCATAGGTTTGGCATGGTGGAACATTCAGGTGTGAAAACATGGAAAAAGGGAAAGACAACCATTAGTATCAGTTGAACTGGGTATAAAATACTTTTTTTAAATTAAAAACTTTACTCACCTACGGGCACTCCCCCTCCGTACAATGTTGTACTATTGTACAACTAGACCACAAGACTTTATATAGTCTGTTCATGTCTAGCTACGCTAACTATAATAGTTAAAATATTTTATTTTATGTAATTTTTTGAATGTATGATTAATTGATGATGTTTGTTAGTTGACATTGTTGTTTTAGTCCGGCGGTCTTAACAATGAAACTGGCAATGGTACATCAAAGATCCGGCAAAGTCCTATGTAATTTAAAGCAAATACATTAAATAATGAATATTCTGTTTGCAATTGATTCATACCTTTGAGCATAATGCATGTTGCTGCAACAATATCTCGGTGCCAAGTAACTGTTTGTGGAACAACATCATCATCATCAACATTTAATGGACAATTTTTGTAGGTAACTTTAACCTTTGACATTAAACGCCCAGTCCGAAGTTTTTCGTTCACAGCCTCACGATTGCCATCGATAATTTGTCGCTTAATAATTGCACGTTTTCTTCTCAAAACACGTCTGTTGACCGTTGACACAATGATATCTGGCAGTCCAGCGACTGAATCTGGCAGGCCATCAATCTTTTTCGCTCTACAATCGTAGCACACTTTAAATCGATCATCTTTTGTGTGCCTTGGAAAACGTTCCTGACAATTCGCGCATGTTTGTGATGTTCCCCATTCATCTTGCATTTCAACTTCTGAATGTCCAAGTTTCTTAATGCTCACACGAAACTTACGCGATCCCGGACATCTTTTACGCTTTTTTATTCCAAACGGTCGATCGGGTTTCATCGCCCAAGCACCAAATTGAACCAACGACGGTTTGTTGTTTGTCACACGCACGGCGATTTGATCATTTACTCTGGTCGAGCGAATGTGATGGTCTAAATCCAGTCGTGCATATTCACGCGTCGCATAAGCTGCCATTCCTTTTCGTAACATTTTAATGCGATATTCAATGTATGATTTCCGTGTTGAATTACGTGGTGATGGTGGACGATATGGGTATGTTTTGAGATGTTCCTTCTCTTCGATATCAAACCATCCAGCCAACTTTTTCGCTTCTTTGTCGCGTTTTTTCTGCTGAGTTTCCCAATGAAAACGCTGGTTTGGTATTATAATGTTTTCCTTCAAAATGCAAAATGATACAAAAAACTATGAGTTTCTATTCAAAACCATTTCAAATTACATTTCAAAATATCTTACCTCAACAGCCGGCTCATCAGGTGTTTTTTGAATGTTGCGACGTACTACAGTTAACCACGATTTTTCATTCGGATCGATTCCAATGATGTATTTCTTGCCAATGAGTTTTTCCGGCCCCCGATTCGCTTGGGTTGTTTGCTGTGGTCGTTGTTGTCGCTGTGGTTTCTTGTACATTATGGATATTGAAACACTATCGGTCAAAATCTGATGATTGAATGGTTTCGATTTGCCCAATTTATTTATTTTACCGACATCGAACAACATATTCCATAGACCTGATCGATCAGTTTGGGTGTAGTACTTTACTTTTCTCTTATTCATCCGGTTGGTCCGCGTATTGAGAAAAGAAGGCACCAAATCAAGTTCGTTTACAATTTTATTATACAAGTCCGTAATGTCCAATCGCACGTTTTTCAAATGGTAGTCGCATAATGGTATAAGAGCAAAACTGCTTATTTTTGGTGGTCGATTGATTGTTGGCTCTTGAAAGTTCGGATTGTTACGAAACATTTCATGAATGGTATTCCATTGTTCGGCATGACTGTGATACACTTCTATTTGCCGTTGCATTTGACCGAACAACCACAGTGATTCAAACCAACGATATTTTGCGAAAAATTTCATACTCACTGTTCCCGACCATCCAATTTCAGTCAAATCTCTCATTAAAATATTGAATTTTTCAACGCGTTGTGGATCCACATTATTACCATTATCACCATTTGTTAAATTCTTAAATCGATATGAAAACTCTTTGGCATTTCTGATGTCGATGCCATCAAATCTTGAGCCATTGTTGAATCGATTGCGATACCAACAACGCATTCGAAAAAAATTCTCAAGTCGTTTTTCACACCATGTGTTGGTATTGGTTTGAATGTTTGTGATATATTGTTTATAAAAATATCTCAAACCATTTCCCAACTTTTCATCATCTGGCCATCGGAACTGTTCTTCACTGTTTCTTTCTACCATGAAACGAAACTCGGGCAATATCCGATATTCACTATTAATATTGTTAACGTGTTGGTTTAATACCGCTCTGAAACAATCGGCAATGAACAGGCTTGGATGTGGTTGCAAAAAAAATGCACGATCGTCATTATCAAGTGCTTCATTCAAAATAAAAAGAATAGAAAGTGATGCCAATGCTGCCACTTCTGTCATTTGAACACTGCGCTCGAATAGCATTTTGGTCACAACTTCTCCAACTCTTTCAATCCGTTCATGTTGTTGTCGCAGGATTGTTTGAAGTCCACATTTTATTACAACGTATTTGCTTTCTTCTGGTTGATTATCATCGAGCTCGTCGTCATCCATGTCTTTTTCTGTTCATTCTCAAAAAACTGATCAAATTATTCGAAAATAAAAAATAGACACAAATTTAGAAAAAAAATGCAACAAAAAA